GGGAGTTGACCACATCTGCCAGTCAAGTGGCAGAAGGGAACCGAGGAGGGGACAGTCAGGATACCTGGGCTTCCCTTCTAGTTTCACTGCTCATGAGTTGTCAGATCTTAGACACAACCCTTTCATCTCTGACTCTCTTTTCTCTCTATGGAGTAAGAATAAAGATACAGGAGAACTGTCGGGACCTAGTGGGAGAAAGTAAGGGACAAAGCGCTGTCCTTTGGTTCGGGGAATGTGGTTCTTTTTAGTCTTGTTCTTCTTGCTTGAAGCTCGAAGGAGAAGGAGGGAGAGAGGAGGAAATTCTGAGAAGAACTAGGTCACCTCTCTCAGCGAGCTTGGTCTGAGAGCTGAATACATAGTAGAGATGCTGAACACCAGGTCAATCTAAGGACCAAATCTAACGGCATCAGCAGTTTCTAGGGTTGAAGCCGAGTGACCGTGATCTTTACTACTGCAACTCCAGTTTCCCCAGCGAATACTTAGTTGGGTCAAAATCAGGTACTTTCATCCAAAAACCCCCTTTGGGTCCTCTGGGGAATCCCCCACCCTTAACCTCCCCACTTTCTCACCACCCCACTCTTACATAATGCCCATCTCCCCTTCAGTCTAGGGTCATAACTTTGACTGGAACGAAGCTCTTCTGTGAGTGACACTTAAGGCCAGCTTAGAAGGAGGTCAGCAGGTCCCCTGCCCATGACGCTCCTCTCTCAAGTCAATGAAGCGATCTGCAGACTTCAGAACAAACCACAGAGGAGAAAATAACCCCTCTGGTTAAGAACAGGTAGGATCAGAAATTTGTCAAAGCCTCTGCTTACATGAACAATTTCCTTTGGAAAACCCAGGATGGGAATTGAGAAATTATATGTTGTATGAGAAATTACATGGTATACTCAAACAAACCACTGTCTGGGATTGTGGTTCCACCATCTACAGATGACCAGGAAGCTCATCTCACTGGGATCCAGTCTTTGGATCCAGAATGACCACAGCAGCTCTTTCTCTGGCCTCTGCCCAACCAGCTCTCTGAATAAAGGAGGGAATCAAGCTCTTGGGTGTTGAGCAAACATGGGGTCCAGTTTATCCATTCTTACCTAGTGCCCAGAGGCTGGCTTCAGCGACAAAATCAAACCGCTCAGGGAAGAGAAGGATTTCCCTTTTGCGATATGGGAACTTGCCAGTGGGTCAATGGTAAGTTTTTCTTTTTTTTTAAAGGAAGTCTCAAATGATCCACAGGGTTTTCTTCTCATTATAACTACAGATATATGATTTTAAGATTCTATCTACTTTCAGATTTCTTCACATTGTTGTGAGGATCCAATGAACTCTGGAAACTGGCTACTGTGAAGACAGTCTGGGGAACGCTCAAAGGAACTTGTTTATACAGCGCCGACATTTAAATGATACCATTTTTAATTTTCATAACTGAAAACCAAAGTCTGCAGTATCTATTAAATTAAATCAAGTTATTCTCAGAGGTATTTTGGACCAATTCATACACATTTTAAACGCCTAACTGAATAAATGGTTTTTAAAATAATCTAGTCTGTGTGTCGTGGGTAGTATATGGCATTTTTCTGGATGAAATCATACTGTCATCTCATATGCCCCTAAAACAACATTGCTCAGGTTCAAAAAGCCATGAATTACCATAATTATTTCTTGCCTAAACCTTTCCTGGATAGAAACCAAGCATGTTGGAATGACTTATTTCAAATGCCTCCCTTATTATCTGTAGTAGGAATGAATATAAACTGGTACAAACTTTGTGGAAAAACAATTTGGCAATAATTAAACAAAAGATTTAAAAATGCTCATGGCCATCTACTCAGCAATTCTACTTCTGGTAATTTATAGAGTGAGAAAATAATCTGAAATGTTACCAGAAATTTAAAGATAAGAAGAATCACTGCAGTAGAATTTAGAACACGTTTTCCATAATTTTCTATAACATAAATCAGTCATAATTTGCTCTTATAAAGCAACCTACACATAAGCAGGGAGATAATTTAGCATGCAATGGTCTATTATAGAAAGAAATATGTTATAGTCATTAAAAATGATAGCGTATATTAGAGAAATGCAAATCAAAACTACAATGAGGTACTACCTCACAGTAGTCAAAATGGCCATCGTTAAAAATCTACAAGTAACAAATACTGAAGAGGGTGCAGAGAAAAGGGAACCCTCCTACACTGTTGGTGAGAATGTAAGTTGGTGCAGCCACTATGAAAAACAGTATGGGTTCCTCAAAAAACTAAAAATAGAGTTGCCACATGATTCAGCAATCCCACTACTGGGCATATATCCAGATAAGACTCTAATTCAAAAAGATACATGCACCCCTATGTTCACAGCAGCGCTATTCACAATCGCCAAGATACGGAAACAACCGAAACGGCCAATAGACAGATGAACGGATAGAGAAGCTGTGCTTCATGTTTACCATGGAATTATTAGTCACAAAAAAGAGTGAGCCAGTGCCATTTGCGGCAACGCGGCTACAACCAGAGGTCATCACACTAAGTGAAGTGAGTCAGGAGGACGAGCACCGAACGATGTCACTTACACGTGAAATCTAAAATATGACACAAGTGAAACTATCTGTGAAATAGGGAGAGACTCACAGAGATAATAGACTTCAGGTCGCCAAGAAAGACAGGAGATGGGGGAGGGATGGAGTGGGAGGCTGCAGTTGGCAGACGTAAGCTATTACCTAAAGAACGGACAGACAGCACGTCCTACTCGATAGCACAGGGAACCATGTTCAATATCCTGTGGCAAATCATGATGCAAAAGAATAAAAAAGGAATAAACATATACACACACACGCAGCTGAATCATTTTGCATTACAGCAGAAATGAACACAACGCTGTAAGTCAACTATACTTCAACTAAAACAAATTTTAAATGGCGGCATACATATATGCCAGTACAGGCACAGAAACGTTTTGGTGGGAGAAACAGACTTTTGTTAATCCTATTTTATTTTGAGGATACGGAGCTTTACTTTTCACTTACACCTTTCTATACTCTTTGAATTTAAAAATGACCATATATTACTCTTATTTTCAAAATTAAGAAAAGTATCAAGAGTGTTAATGACATGAGAAATGATTACGTGAAAAAAGGAATATAAACCTGGTATGTGCTTAGTTGTTATCATATCTGATTCTTTGTGACCCGATGGACTGTGGCCCTCCAGGCTCCTCTGTCCACGGGATTCTCCAGGCAAGAATCCTGGAGTGGGTGGCCATTTCCTACCCCAGCGGATCTTCCCCACCCGGGGATTGAATCTGCACCTCCTGCATTGCAGGCAGATTCTTTACCACTGAGCTACTGGGGAAGCCCATAAACATGGTGTATATGGTATAATCAGGAAAAATCTTAGAAACAGATCACACGTTAATAATTATATTTCTATATTTCAATAAAAATAAAATGGGCCTTAAAATATTAGCTAAACAATACCAACTTGTTTTCTAACCTGGTTGTTCAAAATTGAATCTTTTTCTCCCAGTGGACCTAACATAAACTGGAATCTCATTCTTTGCTGAATTTATCACAGATTCCAGAGATTCAAGGGTCAACTGAAGAAGTAGGTATCAAAACACACTGGATAGCATAGTTTTGCTATCATAAAACATAACACGACAACGTAACACGGCTTGTGGCGTCAGAGTTAATCTGCACTGTGTTGTTATCTATTTGCACCTTGGTCATGTAAAGTGGGCTACCAGTGTGGACCGTGGAGTCAGCCAGATGACCTCGGTTCATCATCCTGGCTCCATCTTTGCTGTCTGGGAGATTCTGGCCAAGTGACTGAAACTTTTAGTGCTTTGGTTTCCTCATTTGCAAAACAGTATTTACCTCACTGGGGTTGTGAGAATTAAAAGAATGTGTGTGAAGTGGTCAGAACACTTCCTGCACATAGTAAGTACTCAATAAGTATTTGCTACTTACTATTCTCATTACTAATACACCGTGCATCTGACTTCAGAAACACTCTGCTCTCGAGCATCTAGACAGCAAACGACTGCAGAGTGGACCTTGCTCTCTGCAACGTGCTGTCGAGTCACACACAACTTGCATCTATAGGACCACCATCTCCCTACACATCAGTTTTCACGCACAGGGGGTATTCTGTAGATCACCCACAAAAACTTCACCCGAAGTCCACCTCAGTAAAGAAAAGTGGTGTGTAAAGACAATTTTTATAGAGAGAGATGACACTAAAACTTTCTCCTACTCAAGTTGGAAACCCACGAGGTGCCAATGAATGTAGCATTTAGTGTAAAACCTGGCTTTCGGAGTTGGTTAATTAGATCACGCCCTTGCAAGGCCAAAAGTACAATGAATGCCTAAATAACTCAATTTTCTGGGTGTTCTCTGGTTCGGACTGCATTCCTGATCACAGCCAACCGCCTCACCAAGGCATGTCAGGGGAGTGGTCAGAGGACTCCACACGGGAGAGGAGGCAGAGCTCAGCAGACGTGTGCTCTTTGATCCCTGAACCTGCGAAAGCGATTCAAAGTAACACCTTGCTGATGCTGGGGCTGGACCATAATCTGACCACACACACACACACAGTGGTGCTTGCTCTATGCAAGAGAGCATCGTCTCACAAAGTTATACATGTCATTACTTAAATGAAGAATAGGCTGGCCTTCTGGAAAGGAACAGAAAAAGACAAGGAAAAAGAAAAGAGAAAAAAAAAAAGGAGAAGAGGGCATTTGTCTTCCATGTTTGGATTTGACCAGAAAAAAATATTTTTCAGAATAAAGGAAAAGCGCCTCAGTTACCCACAGCCGTCAGAAGGAAATCAATATTCTTTCTCGGTATGCCTCCCAGGGCATTATCCCATTGGCACTTTCTGTGTGGAAAGCGAGGTAGGTGCAGAGAGAAAAGGCACAAAGCCTCACGCAAAGGCAAGTCGAGATTCATTCAGCCATCCCACCCCCACCCCACCCTCCTTCACGGAAAACCGCAGGCAGCAACTTACCTCCACTGAGAATAATGACAGCTATAAATATTGCTAAGTCGCTGTCATCTAATTCCAGTGCGTTGAACTTCACAGCAAACTCGAACTTGGGCTCCATAAAGTCACCAAAGGGCTTTCGCAGGCTCTTTAGAAACTCCCGTGTCATGAATCCTTGGCCCTCGGATATGAGGACCCCATCCTTATTCATCAAGGAGGCCAGCATCGTGTAAATGATCTCGTGCACGCCGTATTTTAGGAGCGTCACTTGGTCGTTCAAGTCGAGGTTCACAAAGCCGGGGATACTCTTGGCGTACTCTGTGATCTCCTGCACGGCTTCCACGGAGCGGAACTGGCAGCCCTGGAAGATGCGGATGGCCACCTCTTTGCTGGGCTCCTGCAGGGGACTGATGTGCTTGAATTTGATTTTATCTTCTCCCATCATTAAGGAGTTCATGTCATAGATAACAAATGGCTGCAAAGAAAAACGGGAGAAAGTGGCTGAGTTGGACACTTCTCATTCATGGTCAACACCATCCCAGCTTCTCCACAGACACTTGCTTTGCTAATGAAAATCTTTCAAGTTCAAAACACTGAACAATGAGAAAATACTCATGTCTTGATTTATTCTCCAAGTTGTCTTCTGGAACCAAACATATTTCACCAACATTGGTGATATGATACCACAACCAGTGACTCGCTAATAGCTCCAATTCCTGTTGCTTGGAGGGTCTTTGTTGTTGATATAAAAAATGATGCAAAAATCTACTGTTTCATTCTGGCTTTCAATGGGATATATTTTTAACCTTTTTTCAATAAAAAAATTATTTCAGCAACTCATGGTTGAATAGACTCACTTGGACATAAAGTAATCTTGCAGTTTTAGATTAAATCGTCTCAGAGCTTAAATAAAACATAATGTATATGTAAACTATACTTAACTTTAGAAAAATCAGTCTGAAAGCAGACTAAAAACACTGAGTCAAGAAAATGTCTGTTTCTTTCTTTCCTCTTTTTTTTTTTTTTTTAATGCTCTGGAAGCAATCTGTTTCAGAAAGAGCAGCTGCATAAGGCCTGTGGGCAAACAGTACAAAAGTGGCAAAATAAAAAAGGGCTGGAACTTATTTTTCAAAGTATCTGTCCTTATGGGTCAAGAATCAATAAAACTCGTTTATCAGTTATTCAGGTTTGCAATAGGCTGCTTTCAAAAGCCCGCTGGCTTTGTCCATGAAATAATCTTTCTCTTTCATTTCCTTGTATAGATTTAACCAGAGGTTTGTGGTCCTTGTGAAATTCTCAAGGCTACTCTGAATAAGTGACCACAATTATATACACACACACACACACACGTATATACCTACTGAACTCTGTAAGGAACCACCCCTCAATTCTAGTCATGTGTTTTATTCAGAAGCAAGGAATAAGAGTTGAGGGTATCTGGCTTCCAGCTTTGGTTCTGTGGTTAACTCTGTGACTTTAGAAAAGCCATTTATCTTTCCTAGCCCTCGAATTTCTCATCTGAAGTGGACTGCATAGATTTCCAACTCTTCTCTTGAGGATGTGCTAGTTTCATTTCTTGGAAGTGGTGTCTGTGATGTGTGTGTGTGTCTGTGAGTGTGCATGTACACATTCATGTCCACGAGTATGAAGTCTCTGATGTACTAAAAATACAGCTTCTTTTGAGAAGCTTTATTGAGAGATACTGAGAATTCTCTCCTCTTTGGCAAAAGGAAGCAGATACAATGAGAGCCAGCAGTAGCCAGCTTCAAGACCCACTGGTTCAGACAGTCTACCTATCAATCTCTACAGCAGTCTAGGATTGGTATCAAATTTTGGGGGGGGGGCATGCTACATGTCTTGTAGGATTTTAGTTCCCTGACCATCGACTGAACCTGGGCCCAAGCCGTGAAAGCACTAACCACTGGCCCACCAGGGAGTTCCCGTTACCAAACTATTAAGTCTACTCTGCACAGAAGGACATAACACCAATTCTAAGCAGTTTTAGATGTTGAGTAGATTCCCAAACTTGCCTCTTATTTCAACAACATTCACTGGAGTTATTCCAGAAATTGTTACTTTTTTTAAACCCCCAAAATTCACTTCAATTGTATTGTTTAGCAAATACAAAACCGCAAAGTAGGACAGATGAGAGGAACCCAAGAGTGAGCTCGCAGTGACTCTTAAGTCTTCAAGCAAGCCAGGAACGAATAGTGCATACTGCTTTAAGGCATTCTGCTTTTTTCTCTACTTCAGACCTATACTATCAACAGGAGGGAAAACAAAACCAAAAAAAGGAGAGAGGAGACAGACAGTCTCTTCAGTTAACATGTGGTGAATTTTTTCAGAAGGCCAGATTCTGATGCTGACAAACACTTGCTTTCACAGAACCTAGGAGAAGGTGGTGTCTGATCTCAAAGAGTTTTGTGGCCCATTATAATTTATGCTACCAAGAGCCTGACTTTCTTTACTGCTATGAGACATCTGAGGGTACCTGAAGAGTCCACCCGCACCTGTACAAACACAAACAACAAGGACATAAAGTCATCACCTCTTCACGTATGGAGAGACAGTACCTCCATCTGCCCAGCTTTTGGATGACCTCAGTCCCTCAGCTTCTTGGCAGAGAATGGATGCATAACATTCTCCCACCTCCATGTAAGCAATTTCTCTGGAACTATGCCCTGATAAATCATCCTGTGACTCTTCCCCCTTGACTTCCCCTGTCCCCTCATATAAAGCCCCAGGTTCCTGTTTTTGAAACTCTGTCATAGTTGCACAGAAGGCATAAAATCCTGCTAATTTTCTCTCCCAATTTAACAACAATGTGACTTGGTAACCCCTTGGCAATCGACGTTGGTCAGGATTTCCTGGCAGTAAACACTCAAGGACAGAGAAAGGAATCAGCAGCCCCCACCGTCATGCCAAACCATTCCAGTTTTTTTCTTTTTTAAAAAAAAAGATCCTTCAGCATTTTCAAAACGTTGAGTTGGCAGAGGATTCTGGGTATGGACATGCAAATGAATCCCAGGTGGGTTTCTTTGTTTTTCCTCGTCATAGCTGATGTTGCTGGGGTTTTTTTTTTTTGCACTTTTGAACTCTGCATAGATCCTTTCGGATCCCGTGTGGATCTATCAAGCTGCAGGGGTGATCCAGATGTGATCTGCCCGGAGATCTGCCTTTCTTTGCCACCCGTTCACCAACTATTAGACTGCAAACAGTTAACCCGCACATTTAAAAAAATTAATGAATTAATTTATTTGGCTGCACTGGGTCTTAGTTGTGGCATGCAGGATCTTGTTCCCTGACCAGGGATTGAACCCAGGCCCCCTGCATGGGAGTGCACAGTCTTAGCCACTGGACCACCAGGGAAGTCCCAAGCCACACAGTTTACATTGGGATTCCTCATACAGAAACAGCAGAAGATAGTGGTCTGCCTGGCTTACAGATGGCTGAACTCTGAAAACCACGAGGGGAATTCGGCCTGTGGAGTTTATCTTGAATCAATGACTTAATGTTATACTTCTGGTAAAACGTTCCACATAAAATGTACTTCACTTGCACGTTTCTGTCTTTTCTACAAAGCCTTACATGCTCTATTAGCTTGCATGGTATCATCGCATGATCTGCCACTGTCAGAGGAACCATATCCTCTTCAGATTTGGTTTTAATGGTTTTACACTTCTAATTTAGGGCTAACAATGTATTTATCTTCAGACACTATATCAAATGGCTAGATAAGCATCTCTCCTTAACAGGAAAGAATGCTTAACTACATCTAGGACGTTATCAGGGTGAGATCCAGGCTTTGTGGGGCCTGAAATGTACATGACTGTTGAGTACATTTACAACAACTGTTGGGTTCAGTAATACAAATTATAAGAACAAATAGCTTAGGCCCTTCCCTGAGCACTGGAAGGGGCTCTATGCAAGGGAAGAGGCCCTGAGGCTTCATTAGCTTCATGGTGAATCAGCCTCTGGCTGTTATAAATGCTTGCACTTCTACAGGCCACAGAAAGGTCAGGATGGAATGAAGAAAACCGCACTTGAACACAATGTTTCTCCAGGGGAACAAAGTGATTTCAGTAAGAGGAAGCTAGTTTTCCTTGGAGAGATATATCAAATGTCATCTATGCTGATATATTTTGATTTTCAAAAATGGCTCCACATATCAAAACTGGGATGGGGTTAAGGGTACTGTTTTTATAGATAATTAAAATTAGTTCTAGAACTATCGCATACCTACGTATAACACAAAGATCACCGGAAAAGCTGACTTATTAATGAAGACAAATTAGAGTAATAAAAGTTTTCTTTTTTGAATGGACAGATAGAATAATACTGTTTCTTAGCAGTCCAACATGAGCACTTTAATATATGAGTTGTTTCAGTGACTATACACGGATACTTTAAATTTACAGCTCCTTTTGAATAATAAAATGGCAACCTAGGGAAGACAAATGAAAAAATCAACTGAGAAAGCAGGGATTATTCTGGTGATGGGTTTCCCAGGTGGCTCAGTGGTAAAGAATCCATCTACCAATGCAGAAGATGCAGGTTCGATCCCTGGGTCGGGAAGATTCCCCTGGAGAAGGAAATGGCAACCCATTTCCATATCCTTGCCTGGGAAACGCCAAGGACAGAGGAGCCTGGCAGGCTACAGTCTATGCGGTGGCAAAGAGTTGGACACGACTTAGCGACTAAACAACAACAGCAACAACTCTGACGACATCTCCAAGCTGGGAAACTGAAATTAGTGAAGCAGACGACTCTACACTCTTAGGATCACTTGGTAACCGCATCAGAGTTAAAACTAGCCTGGAAAAATGGTGATCTTAGTTTAGATCCTGGTGGTCTTAGGTTTCTTGACAGATTAGAGCAAAGCCTCAAGGAAGAAAAGTGAATTTTTAGGGCCATGTCTTCTTCATTGCCTCCTTCCTTTTTTTTTTTTTTTTTTTTTGTCTCCTTCCTTTTTTATACTTTTGACCTTCACCCGCTGAGGCGCACATGGTTCTTCTCCTCAACTATTAGCTCCAGTGGGTGAATGTTAATCCAGCTTGCATTGGTTGGGGTTCCTCAATTTCTTTCTGGTTTCTCCTCTGTCATCCCTATTTCCTTCCTGTGGAGAACCATCGGCTTAGAGAATTAACAGGAAGGTCTTCAGGAATAATCTGCAGCATCATTCTCTGACTAGGTATGAATAAACTGAAGCGAAGAGACTTCCTAAAGTCAAACAGTTATTTATAGCAAACCCTAAACCAGATCCCCTCACTCATGACTAATTCTTTTCTTTTTCTGCTACTTTCTACATGACTTCCTCACTTTTGCTTTTTTTTTTTTTCACAAAAAATGACAATTCTGGGAGGAACTGGGACTTCTAAACTCATCTCTGCTGGGGTCTTGGCACAGGGCCTTTGAACTCTTACTTCTGAGAGATGCCGTTTAAGTGCTGAAGACTGAGGGCAAGAGGAGGGGGCG